TTCACCATATAATTTTACATATAAAATGACAGCAATTTCCATTTCATAGCCATCGCTGACGCCGTTTTTTTTTCGATCATAAATATGATAGAATTCAGTTATTTCACAATAATTAATTTTATTACATTATTTCGTTCAGTGAGATCTAAAATAGTAATTTCAAGTGAAACAAAAATTTTGACGGCTACACGTATTCTTCTTTAAACTGTGGCTATACACTACAGTAATAGGTACGTTGTATATTCAGTTTACGGCTGGATGCTATCTACCAACACCATGTAAATATAACAAACACGTTTTATGGTTGCATCTCTATAATATGTTCTATCTTCTATATTTACTTTGTATTCGAAAATTTAATTAGAGTAATATTTGATAATATAATATTCTTATTATTCATTGATTGCAATATGAATGAAAATAGTGATTTGTTTTAATCACAGTTCTAATAATTTAAACTTGAAAGTATGGGGTTCCCAGAAAAGTAGGTGGTTCCCAGCCTCTACAAATATGGAATTCCCAGAAATTGATGCTTTTAAACCTACACTTTTTTCCTACTTTACTGCTACATGAATTTTATCACACGCAGAAAATTTAAATTATTACATTTATACTTTTAAAAATTTTGTTTACAGTCTCATCCAAACTCAACTCGCCAGATTAGAGACCTTATATTATTTATATTTTTAAATAAAACTAGTAGAAACAATCTTTAAAGAATGCTTATTTTCATTTTTTTGTCTGAATTGCTTAATATTCTAAATAAGCATTTTTTTTCTACCCGTCTTGTCCACAGTGCAAATTTTTAAATTGCCGCCCTCATATCTGTATGTAATAAAAAAATAAGTTAAAATAATTCTTTATAACAAAATAGAAAAAAGGTTAATGATAAATACACACATACCCTATGATTCCAAAACACGGCGTCAAATTACCTTAGAAATGACAGTCGGAATCGATCGTCAAAAAATTGTACGAGTACCTAAATATTTATATCGATGCTACGATATCGTTGTAGAAGTAACTAAATTTTTTTTTGTCGGAATCGATCGTCGTGTCAAAAAATTGTACGAGTATCTAAAAATTTATTTCGATGCTATGATTTCGTTGTAGAAGTAGCTAAACTTTTTTTCTTTTAAAGTATAAAGATAATAAACGGGGTTCCATCATCACTTAGTAAACACAAAATCTACTAAACGAAATTGATAATGCATTGTAACTTGATTATGCGTATTACAAAGAAATTTCAGATAAAAACGCTTTCGTACAGATGCATTTATAAGACAGAATATATCTAATACTAACAATAAGTACAATAATATTCACTATAGCAGAAATGCACCGTTTTTACTTCTGCACTGTGATCAATTACCGCGTCAAAAGGTCCGTTCGTCTAATTCTAATATAAATATTTGAGAATTAAAAGCGGCAACGTCGTGGGTCTGGCGAAAACGAATAAACCTCTATTTTTTATATAAATGGGACAAATTAAACGGTCCAGCATCAGGGCCTGAAGGCATCGCTTGAATATTTTTCGTCCGATATACCCCGGGTCTGACGGCCTATCTTAAACGTACCGGGTCTGACTCCGTCGATTTAATAAATATATATATATATATATATATCTTATATATATACAACCAAACTTATATGGAATCACTCTTTATTTCTGACTAAATTTCTTGCAAGGATAAAAATTGGTATACAACTTTAAGATAAAGCTTTCTGTTGTAAATAAACATGATAACAAAGAATAAATGACTGCTGCGATTTATTTTCTTTTGAATTTTGTGTTTAGTAGTAAAATCACGATTTTCCGGTAATTTTCATTCAATCCAAAAAAAAAATGCCTTATGTTGGATTAACAGATGTACAGAGGGGAAGAATTATTGCTCTAACCGAACAAGGAATGCTCCAGAGAGACGTAGCAGAGATAGTAGGCGTTACCCAGGGTGTTGTATCGAAAACATATGCAAGGTACTTGGATTAGGAACACACAAGGATAGGCCCAGGCAAAGTCGTCAAAGAGTCACAACTGAACAACAAGATCGCCTTGTGTGCTAAATTGCTAGAATAAACCTCAATGTTTCCCATCCAGAGCTACAAAGGCAACTTCTGGCAGCTACAAATGTGAACGTTTCAGTTGAAACCATAAGAAAAAGGCTTCGTGTACAAGAGTTTTACCGCAGGAGAGAGTTACGGATCCCGCAGTTATCTCGGCAAAATAAAATTGACCGGCTAAATTGATGCCTTCAACATCAAAACTGGACAACTGAGAATTGTCAAAATGTTCTTTTTTTCGGATGAGACCAGAATTGGCTAAGATCAGATAACTATCGAATTCGGGTTCTCAGAGCTCCAGGAAGACGAGCGAGACTCCAGGCTGCCAAATCTGTACCAAGATATAAAGGAGGAACTGTAATGTTCTGGGGAGGTATTATACTAGGAGCAAAAACTCCATTGTTACCACTTCTACAAACTTTAACGGGTCGGAGATATGTTGATTTGGTGCTAGAACCACTCGTTAGTCTTTAGCGAGCTGCAGTTGGGGATAATTTTAACTTCATGCACGATAGTGCACCTCCCCATACCAGCAGAGTGACTAGAGAATGTCTTGAAATGGAAGGTGTAATAGTTTTGGACTGGCCTGTCTATTTACCAGATCTAAACTCTATCGAATACTCGTGGGACTAGCTCAAAAGAAGGGTTAGAGCTCGTCGAAACAATCCAGGAAATCTCGCACAGCTTATTGATGCAGCATTAGCAGAATGGAAAAACATACCCCAAGACAACGTGGATAATTTAATAAGAAGCAAGCCAACGCGGATAGAAGCTTGCATAAGGGCTGGAGGTGGCAACAAGGAAAATTTAAATTTTCAATTTTCTTTTTGCTTATGCTTTTTGGCCATTAAAAATTTAAATCTTAATTTCGTTTCAGAAACCAAAAAATACCATTTTGTTTATTTTGGGAAATGATTAATTTTTTTTAATTGCTATATGGATTATTTTTGATTAAAAGTCATTGGTAAGGACTGAGATTTATTCATAAACAGAAAATTTTCATACATCTAAAATTTTGAAAAATAATAGATGATTCCATATAAGTTTGGTTGTGTATATATATATGAATTAGCTTCCAATTTTTTTCCACTTATTCCATTACAACTTAAACAATACTGTTTTAAACTAAAATCTACCTTCGATATAATGGCGATGGAAGTTCGAGTTCTTTTTGGGGTTTCTTTAGTTTCATACTATATTTATATATTTCTATGGAAAAAAACTACCATTAATCAATATATTCAAACAAGCCGATTATTAAAATATGTCTTGAGAAATATCCTATTGAAATATGACGTTGTATTTAAGTACAAATACGAGTACATTGACCAAGGGTACTAAAAGCACATTTACTTTCTCATACATTTATGAATTGCAAATTATCAATATACAGAAATTTATTAAGCAACCGGAATGCTGCAAAGGATTATATTTCTCTAATATCGGAACACGCATGTGGCTGCTATATAATTTAACCAAAGAAATTAATTAATGATTAAATAAAAGAATAAGGTGTAGCATATTTTTCTCATTATTAATTTAATTGTAGCTTCAAATGATTATTAATTTAATTGTAGCGTTCAGTTTAGAATTTAGTTAAAAAAATCTTTTTTTGTTGATATATACGGTTATATTATATATTAGGCTTTTAATAATTCATTAGACCAGGGGCGGCTCGTAGAACTGGAAGATGGTGAGGCACATTAGAAGAGAATTTTTATTAGTATGTATATAGGGTGACCATTAGTACGAGGAAGTCCAATATCTTCGTAGTTGACAAATATATGAAAAAAAAAGTTCTATATAAAAAAAGTGCATAAGGTAAGTGCACTAAAAGCGGACATTTTAAGGATATATTTTATTGTTACAGCCTATTAAACGCCAGGAAAAATATTTTGAGCATGGTAATGCACAGTTTTAAGGCCTGTTTTTATGAAAAAATATTCACTTTTGATTAAATAGTATCTATACACTAAGAAATTAAAAACTAGTGAGCCACTGCGGGTTACCCAGTAATGAACATAGCATTTTCATGTTTGTCCATTAGTGGACCCACCAATAGTGAACATTATTAATGCCAACCATTAATCAACAAAAACAATAATTAATAAAATCAATAAGTTTATTTTAAAAAAATTC